GAAAGCTAAAACTAGCCAAACTGCTCCCGAAAGCTAAAACTAGCCAAACTGCTCCTGAAAGCTAAAACTAGCCAAACTGCTCCTGAAAGCTAAAACTAGCCAAAATGCTCCTGAAAGCTAAAACTAGCCAAAATGCTCCTGAAAGATAAAACTAGCCAAACTGCTCCTAAAAGCTAAAACTAGCCAAACTGCTCCTAAAAGCTAAAACTAGCTAAACTGCTCTTAAAAGCTAAAATTAGCTAAACTGCTCCTAACAGCTAAAACTAGCAAAACTGCTTCTGAAAGCTAAAACTACCTAAACTGATCCTAAAAGCTAAAATTAGCCAAACTGCTCCTGAAAGCTAAAACTAGCCAAACTTTATGAAAAACACATTTAATAAAAGTGTCTAAAAGCTCAAACTTAAGACAAAAACAGAGCAGGAACTGGGCAGATTATTGTTTTTGAAGGAGCCGAAGAGATTTTGTGTAAAAACTTTAAAACAGGTGAAATTCTTCCAGACGCAGCAGCGGTCACTGCAGTTCCTTCAGGTCTCAACAAGCTTTAAAATCAGACACAGGAAACAGGAAGTGACTCGTTTTAATTCGGCTGTTGTAACATTTGAAAGTTCAGACGGCGGTGACACTCTCCAGAACTGCAGCGACTTCCTGCTCAACGTCTCACCGCTGAGCCGAGTTTACAAATCCATCGAATTTCATCCGCTGCCCTGATTTTCTTCTGAGCAGAACATGGAGGAGAGTTCGGTTCCTCTGGCTGCAGAGTTCTGGTTCTGTTCATTCTCAGCTGCAGGTCGTTGTGAGAAAAGTTCACTTTGGAGGAACAGAGAAGTTTTTCTCTTCTGTGCTGCTCAACAAGATCTACATATTCTTCTCTGTACGCAATATAAACTCAATCTGAGTACTTTAAATATTACACACTGTAGTATTTAAAGTACTCAGACTGACTACAGTGTGTGGTATTTAAAGTACTCAGACTGAGTACAGTGTGTAGTATTTAAAGTACTCAGATTGAGTACAGTGTGTAGTATTTAAAGTACTCAGATTGAGTACAGTGTGTAGTATTTAAAGTACTCAGATTGAGTACAGTGTGTAGTATTTAAAGTACTCAGA